TATATATATATATATATATATATGCTTACAAAATTTTCATGTTTATCTTTCGTTTAATATTCATCATACTGAGAAATACTTAATATATAGAGGCGAGAATAAGGTTTATATTTCATGTTCTGTCCATTGTTTTGACTTGCTCACATATTGCGAAGTTCTCAAATACAGTAGAGATTCCGTAAATTATGAAATTTCACTTATTTAGCCTTCTTAGATCCACGTACTAAGAACATGGTAATAAGACTTACCGCGTTCAACACACACACACACAAATGGGTCCCAGTTTAGTACAGTTCATTATTATATTTCTCCACAGGACTTAATTTTGTCTCTTTGTAAATTAAATCGCTTTCATCATAGCGACGTAACCTGAGTGTTTAAACGTTTAGATGTAATTTTACGATAAGCTTTGACACGCAGCATAACGACGGTAGAAATATGCGCAGATTGAGCGTTGGCGGGCTGTTTTTATGCTAAAACTAAAGTTTATATTTCTCGTAAAAGGGTGATCGTAAAACTCTTTAATCGATTAAACCTGTATTACCAAATATTTATCGCATTAAATTCTACAACTTTCATCGATCACGTAACGACGGTTAGCATTCCTTATTCGTATTCGATTGTCAGTGTCTACACAGGCTGTACGTACGGGAGGGGGTTATGGTTTTTCTCAGCCGTTCCAGACAAATCTGCTAGGGCAGTGCGTTAAATAGTCTACGGTCTCTTCACCTTTTGTTTAGTATTTTATAATTTACAGCCGACCAACTATTCAACGCTGTATAAACTTCGCAGTTACATGACTTTAAACTGAGCATCTTTGTTGCAACATTTTCATCAATTTGATAAATATTTAGTAAACCGTGCATTTTCGTCTAAAAAAGTATCTCAGTAAATGCGTATTTGTTTATGGTTTATTTAACGACGTTTTCAGCTGTCAGTAGGTCAGACTGTAATAGCGTTGAGTGAAACTGTTAATGAACTGGGAGGATATGGAAAGGAGTGGTCGTGGTATATTTCATATACTATCCCGGCATTTTGCTGGAAATTCTGAAGAAAACCACGCGGTGGGGGATGCGAGAGAGTTTGAAAAAATGACCACAATGTACGTCTGGGTATTTTACTAAGAGTAAGAAAAATAACGAAAATACTTGTTAGTGTTATGGACCGATTACTCGCTGAATATAGGCAAAACGCTTTGATGCAAAGTGTTTAAAATACGGACCGCGAGAAAGTTAATTTTCAGGTACTGGAAACATGTCTCTTCATAAATATTTGTTTCTCATTTGTAGTGTAGAGGATGTAGTTACTCTGAAAAAGGACCTGGACTCAGGTCTGAGGCTAGCTCAACCACAGGGACGAACAGATCGACTTTTTGTCCCTGTTTCATTTTCTTCTTACTTAAAGACGCAGCAGAATAAAACTTCCGAAAACTGTAGTTATATAATATTAATTTTTTTACGATTGAGAAACGTTCTGAGGAATAATTTTGCATGTTATAACTCAACATTGACATCAACTACACCTAGGACCGTTTAATAATTTCATTTACCGCTGAACACGCTCCTCACCAAGTGTCGGCGTTGAAAGTGCCTGCAGATTTTTTCAGATTCTTCCTTAACTTTAACATAACTGGTTATGAGAACATTGGATTTGCCTGATGGCAAGGATTTCGAAGAAAATTATTTGGCAGTTTTAAATAAATTTCTTCCCAATTGATTGTAGAAAAATGCCAGGTTTGCAAGTAATCTATCCGAGATTCGACACGAATATGGCTATAATATGCCCATTAATGTATAATTAATAACTTTAAAAATGTCCCACCGCCCCTTTCGCAGAGTGCACAAACTAATTGCACGCTAAAAATCACAGAAATAAACAGCTCCCTGAATATGTTATAATACATCACACTCTTGAGTAGAATTCTGCCAAAAATGAACCCGGAAGAGATTATATAATAAATGTGCATATTTCAGTTTCAGTTGGTTAAGTTTCACATTACCTGTGTCTTCAGATACAACAACGAAACAACATTTCACTCGTGTACAGAGTTTACAAAGTAAACAAATTGTTACCGACTCACCTGGTTTCAAGACTGCTTCTCTCATGCTTTGTCGATATTATTCGCTTCTCATCCATTTGCCCACATTCTAGATTCTTTTCCCGCGAAGTGAAACTTTTCTGATGTACGGAGACAGTAGAATATTCAGTAGAAACTTCGTTCACTCATAAGTAAGTTCTTAAAGTTTCTTAAACAGTTTCTAAACCCATAGTTCACGAATAGAAACTTGTAATTTCACTTTTAGAACACAATTGAGTTGTTTGAAATTCGCCACTCGTTTTTAAACACAGATTCACTTATGCTGAAATACAGGTGTGTTTTGAAATAATTACACTTAATAAATGCGGAAGTTTATATAAATGTTATCTATCTGTAAAAAAAAACAATAACTTCTGTAACCGGATTTTAAGGAAGTAAAAATGGTAACCGCTTAAATACTTATTTAAGATGTAGTTCAATTGGTCAGTGCGTTTAAAATGCTCGTGAAACTGTATTTTATATCAGTAACGTGACGTAATTCTTATCAGTATTAGCAGAGAGTACACGAAGGGATCTGTTCAGTTTGTCCTTAAATGCCAGTGAGACAGTAAACGTAAGCTAAGGTGAAATTACTTTGGTGTACTAGTGTTACTCTTCTGTGTCGGAGTCTGCCGTGAAGTGGTGGCACAGAGCAGACGCAGGGAACGCCAGCTATTGGGTCTCCTGTCGCAGAAGACAAACCTCCGCGCTCACATCCCATTCTCCCGCCTAATTCACGAACACACACGAAACCGCACGATCTCTCTCGAGTGTCGCTAGCTGAATGAAATCAACTGAAAGTCCGATATTGTCGTTAACATTTTCGTTACTGTTCACCGCACTGAAAAAAGATTGACAGGTTGTTTGACGACATCATACCAAGTGGAAAGATAGAATACTTATTCGTAACGGAATTAGATTAATCCTTATAGAGCCTATTTTGTAGGACACGAGAATATGAGGTGAATTAATAGTATCGCGGTCATGCGTCGCTCGGATACTATGATCATGGTTCGAATCCCGCTCTGGATGTTGATAATGTGTTGTAGTACTCTTTGGTACGTATGAGTCTTATCTCATAGAGAAAACACTGTCAGATGTCCAACGAAACATGAACCTATGCACTCTTGACAAAGAAATATGAAAAGAAACAAGAAGTGTGACTGGGTAGGTATGCTCAGCGTTACTTGGCTGTATTTTATTATTTATTTAGTGTTCTGTCTGACGACAGGTCCATATGAACAGGATCCTTCCATCCTTTTCTCGGACTGGGACCTGTTCATACACGTTCTTGGCAGATGATCCAGAAGTGGTTTGCCATTGCCTTCTTCTGTGTGTGAATGGAGTAATTGTTGGGATGCCACGGAGAAACCGGGGAAGAAGCCCCCGGAGGAAAACTCCGTGTTGCCTAGACCACGGCCTTGCCCAACACAAGTTATAAATTCGGGCACCGCCGGGAATCGAACCCGAACTTCTACGAAGTGTGAAAACTAGTCATTTTATACAGTACGGTATGAACATCTAGGCATTCTGTGACTGGCCACTGGGTGAACAACCGGGGTTTAATTCCCGGTGTGAAAGTTGGCCTTGTTCATACCGGCACTCCTTACTTCAGTCAAGATGATGGAGGCAGTGTGTTCCTCTGTAATGTCGGCAAATCAGCCCAATACCGAACGGCACAAATACGTAAAATCAGAATCGGCAATAACACTTCATAATTTACATGATTTATTGGTTTTGTTATAAAGGGTAATTTAACACTTCGTAACACTTGCTTTAACTGACCCTGCTTAGTTATAGTGTATATGGTAGGAAATTTATCTTATCGCTAATTATTTATAAAATTTCTTCACATTATAACTGTATAAGCTTAAGAAATGCTATAAACTCCTTCTGGTCTAAATATCAGCACAATAAAGCCAATTTTATTTAATTCTCATCTATGTTACTGTTTACATTAGTTTCGTTCACAGGACGTCACTTTCTAAATATAACACAATAAAATAGAGAACATACAGCTAACGGTTAGATGATTAATGGAAAGTCTTACTTTAATTGGTTTTGCCTATATTTGTGTTACAGAAATGACCGCTAAAGATTCTGGGTCATTATGCCGGTATATTTCAGCACATACAGGCAGTTTTATAGATGTGTGTGGGCATCTTTATGGTCTCACGCAGCACTGGATCTCTGCCTGTGACGAGTCATCGTTTGTCGTAATCTTGTCATAAAAAGAAAAATTAATGTCGATTTTGTATAGTGACACGGGTGTATCTAACGGGACACAGGATGCGTAGATAATGTTCTAGTGTAGTTTTCGGAAGGTGGCCTCATCGAATCTCAGTTGGGCTAGCCTATCATTGTGTAAGTTCGTTTCCCTCAGCTTCTTCAGAGGCTTAGTCGCCGATAATATAATGAAAATACATCAGTCTGTATGCTCAGGATAGCAAGAAGTACAAGTTAATAATGATAAATGCGTTGATCATTGATTAATTTAAATGATTTATTAATTAATTAATTTATTTTTTTTAAATTTCGGACTATCGTCTTTCCTCTAAGACGAGTCTGTCTCC